GCTTGGTTGTGGTGTGACGTCACGCCACAAAATACGTCATCAGATCGAACTTGTGTAAATATTATTCTCTCTATGGTGGTATGTGGAATTTATTTTGCAGAGCCGGACACTATCCTGGTGTTCACAATCTTCTATGAATTATTCGGAGGAGGAACCCGCCTTGCAATGCCGAAGACAATATGTGCGCCGGACTCGTCGTCATTGAAGCCTGGTTCAGGGGCTACTGAGGGAGTCCTGGATTAGGGGGTGTCCGGATAGCCGAACTATCATCATTGGCCGGACTCCAAGACTATGAAGATACAAGATTGAAGACTTCGTCCCATGTCCGGAGGGGACTTTCCTTGGTGTGGAAGGCAAGCTTGGCAATACGGATATGTAGATCTCCTACCATTGTAACTGACTCTGTGTAACCCTAGCCCTCTTTGGTGTCTATATAAACTAGAGGGTTTTAGTCCATAGGACGAACAACAATCATACCATAGGCTAGCTTCTAGGGTTTAGCCTCCTTGATCTCGTGGTAGATCCACTCTTGTACTACCCATATCATCAATATCAATCAAGCAGGAGTAGGGTTTTACCTCCATCGAGAGGGCCCGAACCTGGGTAAAAACATCGTGTCCCTTGTCTCCTGTTACCATCCGCCTAGACGCACAGTTCGGGACCCCCTATCCGAGATCCGCCGGTTTTGACACCGACAACTGCCTAGCAAGGTGGTCATTGACGACCAATGCAACCACCACAAGCTCCTCGTCATCCGAGGACGAATCATCCGATGAACAAATGAAGTTGTGGAAAAAATACTCCTCCTCATTGTCCATGGTACCTTGTGAGCAAAGTGTCGAACACATTGGGGTCGTGGTGGAGACATGACCGGGAATGTCACCTTGGGCTCCCCTTGCAGGCAGTAGGCAAAGTTGGCGTTGACGGTCGGCGGCTATCCTGCACCTGCCAGAAGGTGCTGGGGTCAATTGGCGCCATCGACGACCGTATTTTCTCTGGTACCGGTTGCGGCAAAAAAGAGCCACAAAACTCTGGCAAAACTCCTCTGAAACGCGGCGTGGGGCGACTATGGCATTGGGGGTGGTCGTAGTTTTGGCGGTCGGGCTAGAAAGAGTGCGTGCGACCGGAAAGATAGTGGCAGCGGCGATGGCGCGGGTAGGGGCATGGTAGGTGCAGGGGAACAGAAAAGGGGGTTGTGTCGCCGATGGGTGGGCAAGGGGAGGACAAGGGCGCACATCCCGCATGTCCGCTCGCTGTCCGTTTTGACGCAAACGCAACTCAAATTTGAGCCATGAATGGGTTGAAGGTGAACGAAATGTTTGTTCATTTGCTCCTGTGCGTTGGGCCATGATTTTTATCTGTTTATTTTTAAACAAACGCACCAGACCATTTGGGGTCATGAGGATGGCAATGGGTAGGGTATGTGGTGGGTAGAGCAATGCCATACCCATACCCGTGTAGTTAATGGGTACAAAATTCTATCCATATCCGTACCCATGGGTATGAAACTTTACCCGTGTCCATACTCGACGGTTACCCATACCCATTGGGTAGATCAAACAATACATTCACAATTTTACATTCATCTATAGCATATTTGATAGAAAAACATTGATCTCAACTCAATAACATATAGATGAGTACATGACAATTATCTCAATTCAAATTGAAAATTGCTGACAACTTTAACATAGGTTCACAAGCTCACAACACAACTTTAACATAGGTACACTTGTTAATCACAGGTAAGGTTCACATGTCAGGTAAGGTTCACATGTCAGTGTAAGTAGATAGAGTATGAGTACATCCATGATAAAATACTATACCCGCACCCTACCCATGACTTAACGCATAGGATATGGGTACTAACCGTGGGTATAAAATTATGATCATGCCCTACCCATGCGGATATGGTATCCACATGTACCCGTACCATGGGTAAAATTACCGTTGGAGTTGGCCTATATGACGCTGCTTATGGAACCCCATCGCCTTGAAGTTGTGAAATCGATAGGAGAATCACGAGCGAGTTGTCGCTAAATCGCTACCCTGGAGGCCTAGGTAAGAGGCTACTTCTGCGACGGTGGGACATTGTCTCCTCTCACTGGTTACATCGTCTACGTGGCTACGTTCCGTGACTGCGTCGCAGAATGGCACCAGTTCTATGGCGCGTTGAAGCCAAAGAGATATGACCACATTGATTGATGCTTGAACTACGTGTCATCTGCATGGCCCATTCAATCTGTATGACAAGACATCTCCAGAATTGAATGGATTTTTCAAAAAAGGCGCTTTATTACTTAAAAGGTTTAAGAATTACACCCGGCCTCTACATAACTAAGATGCACACAGCGAAACAAAGTCCTCTCGCATGAACGAAAAATAAAAAGGCGGAATACAAAGATAGTGTCTGTATAACGCCTAAAGTGGAGGCGGGCCAATCCTAAGATCATGTTGCCACCCATGTTGGATAAAAGTATCCCTTGCCGTATCCTCCAATCGTGTACGCACCTCCGTAAATAGGTCTCGATTCTCCACGCGTTGTAGAGAGGACCATAAACGAAGAGTCCCGGTACATTTGTAGATAACCTGCATTATAGAAGTACTTTTATCGTTAAAAACCTTATCATTTCTACATATCCAGAGCGACCAAATAACGGCAAGCACTCCACCCTAAGAAGAGTCCTAAACCTGTGCTCAATCCCATGTAACCAGTTGCCAAATACATTAGCAACACTACAAGGAAGATACAAGCTAGAAGCTATCTGGATGACTGACCATATAGACCGAACCAATTTGTATTGGAAAAATAAATGTTTTATTGTCTCATCATGATGACAAAAAACACATCGCGGACTTCCATGTCAATTCCTCTTGATAAGGTTATCTTTAGTAAGAATGACTCCGCGACGAAGATACCATGCAAATATTTTATTCTTAAGAGGTATCTGCATCTTCCAGATCTTCTTGTTATTATCAACTAGCACATCAAACTGGATTAATGCTCTATACATAGACTCCACTGAGAATTTTCCATTCCCATATAGGTTCCATCGAAATACATCAGACCCATGTGACAATTGCACCATGGACAATCGTTGAAGCAGGATGTACTAGGATTGGAGTCTGGGTCCAATTAAATCTCTTTTGAACATCACATTTGGCGGAAATGATTCCATTACAGTGGCAATAGTATCGCCCTTGTGACGCACAATGTTGTATAGAGCTGGATATTGTTCCCGGAGTGTGGCATTTCCTAGCCACTTGTCCTCCTAGAATCTAATTTATGAGCCGTCCTTAATCGAGAAGGATCCATACGAGAAGAAATATTTCTTCGTAGCCATTAGACCCGCCCAAAAGTGAGAATCCCCAGGCTTCTAGTATACTTGGGATACCGCCTTGGAGCCCACATATTTCCTCCTTGGGAGGGTTTGCCATACACCATTTTTGATCAGTAATTTAAACAACCATTTGCCGAGGAGGGCCATATTCTTAACCTCAAGGTCATGAATGCCCAAGCCGCCTTGGTCTTTGGGACGGCAAACCACACTCCATTTAGCGAGTCGATATTTCTTTCGCTCACTATCTCCTTGCCAAAAGAATCTTGATCAGAAATAATCCAATCTATGTAACTCCTTTTGGCAACTGGAAAAAGGAAATTATATATAGTACTATATTACTTAGTACTTAGTTTATGAGGACCAATCTTCCACCCAGAGACAGCAGTTTACCTTTCCAACTGCTAAGTCTTTTTTGCAGCCTCTCCTCAACATGTTTCCATTCAGCATTTGTGAGTCTTCGATAATGTATAGGTATCCCCAAATATGTGATCGAAAACTGGCCCAACCCACATCCGAACAGTTCAGCGTACAGGTGGGCCTCGTCTTGAGCCTCGCCAAAACAAAACAATTCACTTTTATGAAAGTTGGCACTATTCATACTCGGATTTGCCTTTTTCAAATCTCTAACTGTAGATCGAGTTTTGAGCTGATTTTTTTTATGTTGTAGACATACCCTGCAAGTATGTTGTACATTTTTTTCA